AACCCAGCGATTAGCCACCCACCCCGGGCCGTCACCTCCCCACCCTCTCTGGAGGGAGAAGGATTCGCCGCACCCCGCTGGCTGCTCTTCCACACGCCCACATTGCTGTAACTCACACCCAGCAGCAACCCTGGATTTACCCCCCTCCCGACGCACAGCCCTGTCGGTGCCCCTCAATCCCGACCCGCAGCCCCTGCTCTCCCGCCTCTCACCTTGGCCTTGGAGCCCTGCAGGGACTTGGGGAAGAGCTGGACGGGGAGGTGGGAGCTGAGCAGCCGGGGCGGGGGGTATTTCAGGGCAGCCTCCAGCCCCGTCCGGTTCTCCACCCAGGGCGCCCGCTCCCAGTTCAGCACGCTGCGCACCCAGCCGGGGTCCCCATCACAACGGATCAGACTCAGGATCTCCGCCATCCAGTTAGTGCCTAGGGGTGAAAGCGTTAATGGGCCTGAAATAATCCCTCCACTCACTAGGTCCCCCTCTGCTCCCAGAGCCAGGGAGGGAACCCAACAGTCCTGGCTCCCAGACCTTCTGCTTTAACCCACCAGACTCCCCTTCCCAGATCTGGGGATCGGACCCAGGAGTCCTGGTTCCCAGCCCCCTGCCACATTTACTGAGGTGCATTGACAGTGCTAAAATCAGCTCTTGTTTTGCTGTAACACAGGTCTCCTGACCCTGCCAGCAGCTCTGGGGGAAGCCTGTGATCAGAGCCCATCTGCAGAGAGCCAGCCTAGCGCCAGGTGGGCGACTTGGGCTCCAGGGAGCAGCCTGCTTTGTCTCACTCTGGGCTGGGGGGGGGGGGTGAGAGCCAGGGCTCTGACATCTAGGAAAGCAGGTTGTGAGACGTTGCAACCTTTCAGCTGCCATGTTTGGTGTTTCCATTTAATGTCTGTATGTGTGTCAGGAAACTCCCCCCTCTCTCCCCTACCTGACTTGGGGTAGGTGATGTTGAAGACGTCGTTGTCCCGCACCTGGAATTCGTTCTCCACGTTGCTCAGCACCTCAGGGGAGTAATCCAGGCATGGGAACTGTACCCCCTTGTGGGTGAAGTAGTCACACGCCATGGCAGGGCTGGGACAGAGACAGACCTCCCGGCGTCAGTGCTGTCCCCCTTGTGATACTAGGGGGTACCGTGCTGCAGGGGGCATGGCAAGGGGCTCAGTAGGGGGTGCTGTGGTGCAGGGAGTGGGGCGGTGGCTCAGCAGGGGCACCGTGCTCCAGGGAGCAGGGTGAGGCAGTTACTTGGCTGTCCCACCCCAGAGCCAGTTGCATCTTAGCACTGGTTGAGCCGATTCCTTGGCATGTTCCCGGAATGACTCTAGGGCCTATGCTCGTGGCTGCGACCAGGAGAACAGCCCCGTGCCTGTGCTGGGAGCCCTCTGTGGGGTTGTGTGACAGGCCCAGGCACTCTGCTCCCCACCTGCTCTCCCCCAGCGACACCTGGACCCTGTTGGGCATGCTCTGGCCGGCACAGTGACCTTTGGACCTGGGACGAGCTAGTGCCTTCCCCCCCTCCCCCCCCCCAGCACCTGCCTTCCAGATTTGAACCAATCCTGTCTGTGTTCTGTGCACATCTAAAATTCCTGCTGAA